ACGTATTTTTACCTTAATTCCCTACGCATTGTTCACTCTCGGGTGCATATCAGACATGTTTTGGCGGCTGGCGAATTAATCCAATTTATATATGAATGAAATGGAAGTTGGCAGTTGGAACATTTTGCAAAGAAACTGGCCTTCATTTTAAGCCATAGATGGTGTCTTTAAAGATAATCGGAAAGGAAGAAAAATTGAAGTCGCATCACAACGTATAGGACCAATAAAATAAAAGTAGTTGAATAAAGATAGAGCCTTGTAGCTCATGTCCACATATTTCGTAACTTTCGCCAAGATCTAGGGGCTTTTTTAAAGTTACAGGTCATCATTGATAAAAACGGGCATAAAAGAGACAATTGGAAACCTCATAAAAATAGCCTAACACATCACAAATCGGTCAAGGGATCACCTCGGTGAATCACACTATTGCATTTACATTGTGGCATCACACACCATCGAACTCACATACGCACCCACTCATGTGCCAACATTCGCCTCACTCATTAGAAACTCCATAATTGGCGCTTGAATCGGCCTAGACTCTGAATATTGCGCAAGTCAGGCGGTAGACAGTTAAACAAACCCGATGCTCTGTAACTAAATCGGCGAGTGCCAGAGTTGCTCACCACTCGGGGGCGCCTCAGCTGGCTAGCCTGTCACATTTCATGAGTGTGCTCAGCACGTGTGAACATCGCGACCATATCTGGTGGCTGACACGTAAGACGTTTTTGAGCGGGCACAACATGTGATATGTGACGAGCTGATCAGCACTAACCATCGTGGATCCCTGACAACATCCGATATATGGTCACACCTTCTCCTTCCGTTCACATCCCGCGCACAGAAGTTCGCGAGTTTTTGCACGCGATGGAACTGGGTGGCTCCGTGAGTACCATATAGTGCTATACAGTATCTAATGAAGGAAAGAACTAGAGCTCCGACAATGCGAACGAGGGTATCTCTTGGGAGTACATGTTTGGCATGGGACAGGGCCATCAGAGCGCCCATCGACCTGGCAACAAGCTGATCAATGTGCACTACAAATATGAGATTTCTGCCCATGACCACACCAAGGTTTTTGACAGTACTGCTTTCAGTGACGACAGCTGATCCGATCTTGACATGCAGAGGAGGCATATGACGCAGCATAGCCCTCGTCCCGAAAACCATTAACTGTGTTTTTGCTGTATTGACTTTCATAGAGTGGTTGTTAAACCAGTCCAATACAACTGACAAGGTATTCTCCATGTCTGCGACAAGCTGTTGCATTGCACATGTCATTCCCGTTACCCAAATCTGTGTGTTATCGGCATATTTTATCACTGTAGCGCCTTCTGAATATAACGCTAGATCGTTCGAGAAAATGGAATATAGGAGCGGCCTGAGGGCGGTACTCTGAAATACCCCCATCCCATTCGGAAGACTATGAGAGCGTGCAGTATGCCCTGAAGGGTATATGACCTGAACCTGCAAGGTATGCCCGCAAAGGTAGCTTTCAAACCATTTCGTGTCGATATTGTATATCTTAAGCTTGAATAAGAAAAGCTGGTGGTTCACAACGTCAAAACATTTTGACAGATCTATTAAAACAAGCAGAGCGATCTCCCCAGCATCCTTCGCGGTATTTCATCAGTCACTACAGTAAGTGCTGTCCCTGTTGAAAAATTCGCACGATATCCGTGTTGTGTATGCGAAAAGAATTCATGCTCGTTAAAATATGAACTAAGTTGATGATGAACAATACGCTCGACCATCTTCCTTATCGCTGGCACTACAGAGATTGGCCTAAATTTGGCAGGATCGTTCAAATCACTGGTTTTCGGGAGCACTGTGACAAGAGCGTGTTGGCAGGCAAATTTGTTCGGTGTTCGGTCAAAAATGTTCGGTCAAATTTTGTTATCAATTAGTTTGACCAAAAATCTGTGAAAAGGGGTGCTTAAATTGCGATATTCAGCTTTTAGAGTTCATCGAGAAGGTTTTTCTTAATTTTTCACTTCTACATTTCGGGAGTTGTGCAATTTAGTGGTCAAGTTTCTTTGGGTATAAGAAATACGTGGCGAAAATTCTCTACTGCGCTTTGCGTTGTTTGTATCAGGCTTTTCTTTGCTGTGGTGTTCGGGTGGTGTGACCCAAGAAATTGGGGATGCCTGAAAATCTTGCATTTGGCGCATAGCTGATGATTGTGATAAATGTGATTAATAACCCGAACTTGATACACGCAAATGGCTGGAGTCACTGAGGCTCTTGGGCTTGAAGGTACCTGGTGTCCTTGCTTTGTAAATACATAGGCATAAAACAACTGTAGGTGAGACAAGATATAGCCATGGGTGTCCAGGTTCTGTTGACCCTTGTTTATGCTTAATGGCTTCAAGTGAGCTCGGTTTTGGATGACGCCTTAGAACATCTGAAAGAGAAATATGGGTTTGGTATGTGTGGTTTGACAATATCAAGAAGGAGCGAAAAATTCACTTGAAGTATGGGGAAAATGAATGAAAAATTCCGCCTCATATGGTGCTCTTTAACGCGAGAAGTCGGCAATTCTAGAACGCTGAGCATGGGTATGGGCATGCATACTTAATCTGTGTATTGATTTGGTCTTACCGTTTTTATATGAGCTTGAAACTATCCGTGTTACCCAAGACTAGAATAGATTTTAGTTGCGATGCGCCTGGTGATTGGATAGCCACTGCGGGTTATCCTGCTTGCTGCTGCGTCGTAGTCGTGCTCGAAGCATATCTGCCTCGGCAAATGTCAACAGGCTGGATAGGATTTTAGTTTGTATGGGATATTGGTTGAATTAGAACCCACCATTTGGATAGAAACGGTGCTTTCCTCAGGAGATCAGGGAATAGCTAAGGGGCTCCGCGGAAATACTGGGATACCCTTTGTCCCCGGCTTGGCGTAGGGGCACGGACGAGGAGCGCTGCTTAGCGGTACAGCATATCGCACAGGGAGCTGAACGTGCGCTTGGCCGGCCGTAGCGACGAGTGAGCGTGGAAGACTGCCTGTATGGAGCACGTGGCCAATAACACGATGGGCAACGGCGCAGGCACGTGGACAAGAGCACAGCGGACGATGGCACAGGCACGCGGAGCGCCAGTCCGGTGCGGTCCAGCAGCTGCAGTAGCCAGGCACTGGCACGTACAACTTTATAAATTTACCTGGCCTGGGTCATCCTCACGAACATTTCCATGCACGTGGTCAGAGCTACTCCTTCCTTTTCACTACACTTACAAATCTGTGGTAAACCCTGCGCGGTTCTTCATGCTTCCTCTTTGTCTTTGGGCGGGTAGTACATGTCCCCTATGCCCTGCCTAACCGATGGGGAAGTTTTCAGGCTCGGGGCACGTCAGCAGGAGTGCAGAAAGGCGATAAGTTAAATACCATCCTGAGGCACGCGACAGGCATGGACACGGTGCCACAGAACGTCCGGCAAGAAACAGTCCTGTGTTTGCGATGTTTGCAGCAAAATAGTTTGCTGTATCACTAGCTTTGTTAAAAAATATTGTGTATAAGAGCGTCAACCCTGTCACCAGGCGACCAAACCCCACCACTACTGACATCGATGACCGATGGCTTCAGTTCCAGACATAATTCAACGGAGGCCTAGAGGCGTTTCCTGCGTCTGAAGAACTTGCAGTGTATTAAATTAGAAGTGCATTGATCTGTTTGTTGAGAGCTTAAGACCCCGCTGCACTGTACGGCGTGGGGCCGCGTGTCCGTAGCGCTTGGCAGGTTCTGGAAAATGGGTCCGCCGATCTCATCCAAGACGGGCCAGTGCATTTGCAGGCCTGCTCTGACGTCATCCTCGAGACGAAAACGCTCCACAGAGACAAAAAGCCCGCGCGCTCGAAAGTATCTAAAGCGCAAGATCTGCATCAAGAGCCTCTCGACTGAGACGCTTCCGCACGTCCTAGTGGCGCCTCTTAAGCCGTTTGCTAGAGAAGGTGTCGCTGGAGAAGGCGAGCGGCCAGATCAACATTACCGTGAACTTCTACATCAGCGGACTGAGCCTCTCGCCCGACTCCACCGGACAGGCGCCTTGCAAATACAACCTGTGCGGCGGGGCCTACCATTCTGACGCCCGACCCCGCCGGACAAGCGCTCTGGAAGTACAGCCTGTGCGGTGGGGCCTACCAATCTGACGCCCGACCCCGCCGGACAGGCGCTCTGGAAGTACAACCCGTGCGGCGGGCCTACCATTCTGACGCCCGACCCCGCCGGACAGGCGCTCTGGAAGTACAACCCGTGCTGCGGGGCCTACCATTCTGACACCCGACTCCGCCAGACAGGCGCCCTAAAAGTACAACCTGTGCAACGAGGCCAGCCATGCGACGTGACTAGCAGCCAGCGTTGTCGATCCATCATCTGTGGGTTCCTGGCAGCCAGGTCAGGGATATTGTGGGGATGTGAACTATTCAGTTGAAAGGTTGCCTCGTCGGTCTATCATGTCGCCTGCTGTTTACATCGTTGGCATCGTTTGTCTCAAGCACAAATGATCATAAGAGTGCGATGAAAACAGTTTATTTTACATGCGCCTGTATTTCTTAGCAGTACGGAAGCATGAATATTTCACTCATGCAGCCTCACAGCCTCGCACACTCGTTTACGCTATGCCTAGCGCTCGCCGTCCATCCGTCTTAGTAGTTGCGGGCGGGGGCAGGAGCGCTGTAACGAGCTGGAGCCGGAGCAGGAACATTGTACTCTCTGGGGGCAGGAGCGGGAGCGCTGTACTGCCTGGGAGCAGGAGCAGGAGCAGGAGCGGGAGCGTTGTACTGCCGAGGAGCAGAAGCAAGAACCGCAGGAGCGGGAGCGTTGTACTGCCGGGCAGCAGGAGCCGGGGCGCTGTAGCGGGCGGGAGCGGGGGCTGGGGCAGAGCCATAGCTCTGCTCGCCCTGGTACACCTGTGGCACGATCGGCAGCGGGTACTCGGTCGGCACCGGCGTCGGCAGGATGTCGCTAGACGGCTGGTAGCCGTTCTCGTCGGCAACAAACGTCACCTGGACGGGGTGGCCGTAATCGTCGCTGTAGCTCCAGCCACCCTGCTGGACGTAGCCGCCGGTGGGCTGGCCGTACTCGGATTTGCCGTAGCCGTCCTTGGGGCTGCCGTTCTCGTTACGTGAGATGCCGTTCTCGGTCTGGAAGCTGAACTGGTAGGTGCCGTCGCCCGGGTGGACGTTCTCCTCGCTGAGGATGGCGAAGGGCTGGCCGTAGCCGGCCGGCTGCTGGTAGGAGGCCGGTGCCGCCGGCTGCTGGTGGGAGGCTGGTGCCGGGGCCGCCGGCCGCTGGTAGGAGGCGGGCGCCGGCTGCGGCCGCGGGCCATCAGCACAGGCCAGAGCCGCCAGCGAGGCTACGATCAGCTGGAAACACACCCAGCTGACGTCAGAGGGGGTGCCGACCCGGCGGTGCCAGCAAGGGTTCAGATTGCGACCCATGATTTCACCATGACAAGACGCAGTTAAGCACCTTTGCCAGACCACTCTTTGTTATGGATCTTCGCCTGTAGATGCAGGGATCAAGGGATAGCTATGGAATGTGTGTAGCATCTGACAGCGCATTGGCTGACGACATTGCGTTCTATACTGATTCAGAGACTGTTGAAATTAGAGCCTGACGTTCGCACGTCTGTTCTGGTCCCTTTTGGCCAGTGCGTTATCGTGCGAAAGTTTTGGATGTAAAATTAAATACTAAGTTTTTAAGTGGGCCAATTTAAGCCAGTCAGATTACTTTTGCGGTTCACCAAAATGGCTATATACCTACCCGTGTAGACTACTTGGGACGGATATAAAAAAGCACTGAGGCGCTGGGACTGAGGGCACTTTGACTTCGCCTGCTACGTAAAGAAATGACCGCTGATCAACGACCTTATCTAAAAGAACCTCCCTGGCGCCCCAACTGACAGTACAGACACCGCTGGAATACGAAAGGCAACCCTCATGTGAAGCACCGATCTCCCTGGTCGCACTCACCAGCTTCATGTTTGCCGTGGCGTTGTGAGATGGACACCACTGCTGGCGAGTGACTGGTGCCTGGTGTCTGTGCGGCCGGGCTTTTATTTGGCCGTGGGAGGGCGACGCGGTTGGCCGTCACGCTGCCTCCGGCGGCGCTGCCCCACCTGACGCAACGCCTTCTGCAGTGGGCGTCCCCGTCCAGCCAGGCGACCAGACCACAACTGGCCGCCGGTCCACCGATCTCACGTGAGCCAGCTCGACCCAGCGCTGCTTCCGAGAGGGCGGGGACGGCGGCACGGAGCACGCACAGAGACAGGTTCAGGTTGGAAGCAGAAGAAGGAGAAGAAAGCACCTTGGCAAGGTTGGTAGCACAAGCGACAGCCTGACGCGCTAGACCGTGTCACCTTCAGGTCGGCTTCGGAGCGACATGGTCGCGCAATCGAGCACCAGCCAATGATTTGTAGACGAGTGGCCGATGTCGGAGGCCTTTTATGTTGCTACTGGTACTGAAAGACTGTTGAAGATTTTGAGCAATGTTTCAGACGGTCATGCAAACATGACCCGTTGTCCGTACGTATTTTAATAACACACTGTCGGCTCACCATGGCGTGAGCCGACAGTACCTAGAAACATCACATGGAGTAATCCGATGAAACACTTGATCAGTTTTCCGCAACATTCTGCCGGGTTGGGAGACTAAATACCGACAGGAAAACACGCCAATTACGCGAACTGTGAGGGTATAGTCAATTGCTTGTGCTTTGTGCTGCCACGACAAAGCTGACTTTGCGTGTTGTCTTAGCAGCCTAGCCTCGAGTGTTGGCTTTGCTCGTAATCCCATTAAGGCCGACAGCCATCCGCCGTGCATACGACGCACTGGCCTCAAAAGCTTCCTTGTCGTGTTTATCACTCACAGGGGTATGGTAGCCACTTAAATATCAGTGTTCGGAAAACGTGAGCAATGGTAGAGAAGGCCGGTTGTGATGATACATGAATAAGTTGCCATTAAACAGTTCCCGGTACTTTTGCAAGTTTTCCTGCTCTTGATAAGAAGGAGTATAGCACGGCGTGGCATGAGCACTCACTGGCACGGCTGTAGTCGCCGGCTCACGCTTGCTCACGGCATCTCTTGTGGTCTTGGTGTATCATGCTATGTAATTATCCCCTATAGTGATGCGTTAGCTACCGCACGAACAACGGCGGATGGACAAAGATTTATGCGATGATGCGGTAAATTTCGACTGCGCAGCAATGCTCGGTTAACGTATAATGAATTGTCAATGTATGAAAAGTCAACAAGACATTGAAGATAACGATGCGGTCAGTTCTCCTGAACTGCTTTCTGGTCCTTGTGGCAACTGAAAATTTGTCTTCAAGTAGTGTTCGCATGTAATTGGAAAGCCATCATGTGGAAGAAGATTTACTCAAGCCCCAGTCCTAAACCGTGGAAGGTGTTCGACATACATGTAACTCTCGACCGAACGGGCAGAACGACTCTGAGCTCTTCTGAGCGGTGTCACACGGCCTGACACCCTGTCAGGGTACACGGTATGTGATGTCCGCATTCTCCAGTGGCAGAGGTCCGCCTGGCTCCGACCGTAAGACGGTGGGTACGGATCAGAAACGTCACGTTCTTGCAAAATGTCCTCCCGTATCCCGGTCCGCCCTGGCCAGCTAGCGATCTGACCCGCAAAAACCGACTGCGCTACAAATCTTATCTGACGTTAAGTACAATCTGTATTTTCCCGGTATTCTGTAATTTTTCACATACAGATAAAATGTGCCAACAAGATGTCATATAATTGCCATCTTATTTACCACTGCGGTGCCGATTTTTGCATGCAAATTACAAAGGAGAGGCTGAAAATTGAAACAGCACATAAATAAAAGGTACAGATATTTCAAGCTTGTACCTCATATTGGTAAGACCGAGGCTTGGTCTTCTTAAATAGCCTGTATCAGCTCATGACTTTGCACCCGCAAAGCGTAAAGAAACAAGGATATTTCTAGTTGTGAAAGTCCGATTTGCTCATTATATTGTACATGGACACCAATATTGGAAAGTTTTAGGAAAATGCAGACTTTTTCATGTCATACAGCCACTAGAACTCGACAGTTTTACACTTTCTATTTCACGACTTTCGAATGCACCACAACAGCCGCAATGCCATATTCGTATTGGAGTATCAAACTCGGGATCTTATATGTTGTGTGTGCTGTCCTTAGAGGGACGTATCATTCAACAGCATAACATAAATTTACGTTGTTGTTTGTTATGCTGCGTACACGCAAGGGTAGTAAGAATAAGCTGTTCAAAAATGCTGCTGTGTCACTGACATGCGCACTTAGCAAAGCAGCAAAACAACGTGGCACATCTATCAATATCTCATTGAGCAAATTTGTATTGTCACAAAATGTTTACGAAAATAAGTAGTTAGCAACTAATATCTAGACCTGTGTTTACGATTCACATTGCCTGCTGAATGCAGCTTTCGGATCTTAATCGCAGAAAATGCGTCATATGCTGAACTGTATCTTTTACATAGACCTGTGCGCAGATACCCGTTTTGAAGGAGATGGCAACGTACACGGAAGGCACATATAAATTAGAATTATACTTTGAAAACTAATGGCCGTTGCGGTAGCGGTGAAACGTATCGCATCAAGTTTGCCAGAACGAAACGTATGCGTAGCTCAGTCCAGTGACGCTGAGCCCATCGCTGGAGCAGCAATAAGCCAGGCACAGGAGCTGTCGCGTGTCCAACTTAGGAGTCGCGTGTTCAAGTCAGGATGATTCGCTTGTCCAGTTCAGGAACAGCCGCGTGTCCAGACAAAACGTCACAGAACTCCAGATCCCCTCCAATCTTCTCGGAAGGGCCAAAAGACCCCTAAGAAACAGTGATAGAAAAAGTGGAAAATTCGGCACAAGGGCATTGTTGTGCAACGCGCCCTTCGTTACAACGCCACCTTCCCCGCACAAGCTACCTCTTGAAATTACCAGATACCGCACCCCAGCCAATCCCACCCTAACCCCCTTCGCTCTCGGGTGTTCTAACTGCGCCCTAGCCCCACCACATTTCACATGATATTCTCCATATGTCTTGTGACTTTTCGTCCGACCATGAAGATTAATTGGCATAAGTTCAGTGGGAAATCCAAATTTCAGGGTTGGTTAGGTGAATCCCGATTTGGGATCGGTCATGTCATTGGGATGTTCCAATGTCTCCCCCCCCCCTCGCCGAGTGCGGAGGTAGTTTCTGACCCACTCAAAAATCCTCACACCGCAGTTAATTATGAACCGGAGCCGCTTTCACTTGAGCTGCTCAGTAACTACTAACACAAACTTTGTGTGCATTGGTGTGGACAGCTCCTGGATCTGAAAAGTTTCAATTGCCGTGCGGATACTCTCATCACAAGAAAAACAATCCAATGAGACAGCACTCCTAAAACGGCAATTTGGGCACCACCTCTCAAAAGACCAGGTACGCTTCACGGCGCTCCGGATCGTGCCGTGCGACCTGACTAGCAGCCCGGCGTTGTCGATCCCTCTTCTGTGGGGTCCTGGCAACCTGGTCAGGGATCTGGTGGGAATGTGAGCTATTCAGTTGAAAGGTTGCTTCGTCGGTCCATCATGTTGCTGGCCATTTACATCGTTGGCATCGTTTGTCTCAGGTACAAATGATTATAAGAGTGCGGTGAAAACAGTTTATTCTACATGCGCCTGTATTTCTTAGCAATACGGACGGATAAATATATCACTCATGCAGCCTCACAGCCTCGCACACGCATATGCACTACTCCCAGCGCTCGTCGTCCATCCGTTTTAGTAGTTGCGGGCGGGGGCAGGAGCACTATAACGAGCAGGAGCCGGAGCAGGAGCATTGTACTGCCTGGGGGCAGGAGCGGGAGCGCTGTGCTGCCTGGGAGCAGGAGCAGGAGCGGGAGCGTTGTACTGCCGAGGAGCAGGAGCCGCAGGAGCGGGAGCGTTGTACTGCCGGGCAGCAGGAGCCGGGGCGCTGTAGCGGGCGGGAGCGGGGGCTGGGGCAGAGCCATAGCTCTGCTCGCCTTGGTACACCTGCGGCACGATCGGCAGCGGGTACTCGGTCGGCACCGGCGTCGGCAGGATGTCGCTAGACGGCTGGTAGCCGTTCTCGTCGGCAACAAACGTCACCTGGACGGGGTGGCCGTAATCGTCGCTGTAGCTCCAGCCGCCCTGCTGGACGTAGCCGCCGGTGGGCTGGCCGTACTCAGATTTACCGTAGCCGTCCTTGGGGCTGCCGTTCTCGTTACGTGAGATGCCGTTCTCGGTCTGGAAGCCGAACTGGTAGGTGCCGTCGCCCGGGTGGACATTCTCCTCGCTGAGGATGGCGAAGGGCTGGCCGTAGCCGGCCGGCTGCTGGTAGGAGGCCGGTGCCGCCGGCTGCTGGTAGGAGGCTGGCGCCGCCGGCTGTTGGTGGGAGGCTGGTGCCGGGGCTGCCGGCCGCTGGTAGGAGGCTGGTGCCGGCTGCGGCCGCGGGCCATCAGCGCAGACCAGAGCCGCCAGCGAGGCTACGATCAGCTGGAAACACACCCAGCTGACGTCAGAGGGGGTGCCGACACAGCTTTGCAAGAAGAGGCTGAAATCGCGACGCATCTTTTGGCCGTGATGCTACTTAGTTCAGTGCCTTTGTCATGTCAGTTTCTGCCATCAGTCTCCGGCTGTGGATGCAGGGATCAAGGGATAGTTGTGGAATATGTTTAGCACCTGACAGCGACGACTGGCGACGTGGCCTTTCCCACTGATCCAGGGACTGTTGAAATTGTAGCCTACGTCCGCACTTCTGTTCTGATCTCTTCTGGTCAGTGTGGCATGATAGCAACGTTTTGGATGTCAAATTACGCTCCTGATTTTTAAGATGACCAATTGAAGCACGCCATGCTAATATTGCGGTTCACCGAAATGGCTGCATGCCTACCTGTCTAGGCTCCTTGGAAGGAATGAAAAGGGCATTAAAACTAAATACATTTTGACTTTTTCGGACGCGGAAGTAATGGAAGATGATCAACAACCCTATTTGCAAGACCCTCTGTGTCGCCCTAACTGACAGTACGGACGCCGCTGGAATACGACAGGCAGCGCTCATGTGAAGCACCGATCTTCCGGACCGCACTCACCAGCTTCATGTTTTCCGTGGCGATGTGAGGTGGACACCACTGCTGGGAAGTGACTAGTGCCTGATGTCTGTGCGGCCGGCCTTTTATTCGGCCGCGGGAGGGCGACGCGGTTGGCCGTCACGCTGTCGCCGGCGGCGCTGCCCCACCTGACGTAACGCCCTCTGCAGTGGGCGCCCACGGCCAGCCAGGCGACCCGACCACATCCGGCCGCCGGTCCACCGATCTCACGTGAGCCGGCTCGGCCCGGCACCGCTTCCGATGGGGCGGGGACGGCGGCACGGAGCACGCATTGAGACAGGTTTAGGTTGCAAGCAGAAGGGTTAGCAGGTCAAAAAGTTTCCTGGTACAGACGACAAGCTGACGCTCTGAGTTGCACCACCTTCAGGTCGGCGTCGGAGCGGCACGGTCGCGGAATCGAACACCAGCCAATGATTCGCAGGGAAGCAGCCGATGAGGGATGCCTTTTACGTTATGACTGATGCTGAAAGGCTAGCGAAGACCCAAAAAAGACATGAAGCTCTCTGGTTCCTGACTAAAAGGCCTGCAAAAGTGCGAAAAATTTATTGGGAGACTACTTGAAAGTCACCTTGGCAGTGATGACGTCATATAACGTCATACAATCGTCGTTATAGAGGTTATAAAGGTTATAAAAAGAGAACACGAGCGATGATGCGGCACGCATGGTACAATCCGCGGAAGGTGATTGGCTGTTAAAAAAAATTCGCTGTGAATGCGCGTCGCGAGCTAAATGGCGAGCACTTTCAGGTTGTCTGGCACTTGTGGTCAACTGGGCATTTAAGGAAATACCACTGCCCCTGTCTGCAAAGATAGTGCAATACCGAAGAACGGCACGCTTCCGAATGTTATAAAAAAGACAAGACGCGACGGCAAATCCACCTTTTTCTCGTACTGACGTTTTCTGTTGTTTTACTGACGTATTTTTTACAGACAGCTCAGTTAGCGTCTTGTATACGGGATTAAGGTGCCCTGCATGGTTTTATGGGTAAGCCAGACATTGTAGCATTGGAGAAATATTACAGTAATTTTAGATATATAGATTTTGCTAAATATTCGTCACATGTCGAATGACAAGTTTAAATCTTGAACAAAATAATTGTGTCCTTCAAGTGTGAACTCTTGAGTTGTGTTACTATAAACCCTTTTTGGGACTTTGTTTTTGAAGGGAGCTCAAAGCGAAATGCGGTGTTGTAACCGAAAACCTGTGCGGATATTGCAAGAAAACCTGCAATTTGATAGCCCCGCGGGTTATGCAAGTATGGGATTACACTGATTTGACATTCGAGTGTAAATCGAGCGTTTCAAATGGTCGTGATCGCTGATGAGACGTGCCAATGGCTTGTATTGATCTTGATGTAATGGGAAGGGTGCGTGCAAGGTTTGTAGTTCTAACAGAGAACATTATTTTGGTATCCTTTAAATCTAATAAATCCCAATAAAATGGTATGGTTTGATACCTGCTCTAGGTTTGCGATTTAACATGGCAAAGTTATGATGGCGTCAAACTGAAAGAATCACTGGCATCTATGATTCAGGGGTGCTCAAAGGCAATTTGCTGTTTCATTATGATCTTGCCATAATTTTGAACCCATTGGGGTATTCCACCATGTAGTTCATCCCTTGCACGCCATTATATTAGCAATTCATTTAGGCAGCGGGGACAGGTCAGTGCGGCTTATTAATGCACATGCTTGCTCTGAGCATTTCACTTGTGTGAGATGCTGGGTACGGAGGAAGATGGAGCAGTGTTGTAGTTGGTTTCTTGGACAGCGCTTCATCGTATTTTTATCATGTGCCTTGTGTGCACCGGCAGCTTCATCACTTCTTTGCATTTTGCCCATCTAACTGTTACCACATGCACTTGTCAGGCCTTCATCATTGAGCAAGGTCAGCCGGTTCGCAGCGTCTTTTCACGACAATGAATGTTTTCTTGTTATGCATGTGCGATTACTTGTGTGAACCGCATTTTTAACACGCTCCCAGGTAGTCATTTGAATACCCTTTGCTCGGGTGGGGTGTAAATTTGACCCCCTGAGATCTCGGGAACTAAGAGAGCTAGACACACCAAATTCATGGAGTGTCTTGACCTGTACGCAATTTCTTAGGTCAAAGTTTGAAGTTCGTAAGTCATGGCCGTCGGGTCAAACAGGGTCAAACAAGGTCATATTCCAGAATGGTGTCCAAAAGAGCCCTAGAACCTAGGCAACTGTTTGAAGAAAAATTTCACGCACTCAGTAAGGGTCAGTGACCTTGTTTGACCTTTTAACACGCGCCAGGGTCACCGGTTAGTCAACCTTTGCTCGGGTGAAGGGGATCAATCTGACCCCCTGAGATCCCCGGAATGAAGAGCGATAGAGAGACAAAGTTCACAGCGTGTGTTGAACTGTACGTGAACTCACTTAGGTCAAAGTTTAAAGTTCTTTGGTCATGACCTCCAGGTCAGATAAGGTCAAACAAGGTTAAATTCCAGATTAGTCTCCAAAGGACCCCTATAACCTAAGCAACTGTTCTAAGCAAAATATCACACGCTCAGTTAAGGTTAGTGAACTTGTTTGACTTTTTAAAGTCATGATGAGCAGAATGATACAAAAGGGTTTTGAGTTGTGCATTTGGATAAGCGACAAAGATTACGCTAGGCAGTATGTTCCCAAAAACAAAATGTTGACCTGGGTCATTTTAGGTCAGTGACCTATTCTGACTGATATGAAGTCCACGGAAGGTGTATAATACGGTCCCTGCCATAAATATGTTCGAAATGAGCACCAGAAACCAGCCCATACAGCAAGCTCTAGAGTAATAAAACAGTTTGGTATTACCTTGGTCTGACATTCATACCTGACCCTAGGTCATGGTTTTTTGTTTATTCAATTGTTGTTTTGCCTAAGAAAAGATCTCAGTGATGGACGGATTCGTCTAACACTCCGTTGTTTGGTCGGATTGAACGATTCTCTAGAACGTGCCTTCGCTGGAACCATGACCTGACTCCTACTTACCATAGGTCAGCGACCTTACAAGGTACTTCTAAATGTTTATTGTCACACATTTTGTTGTTTAATTGTCTACAGCTGTGCAAAATTTGGCGCAGCTTCACCGCGCCGTTCGGAAATCATTTCGGGAAAACCCTCGGAGGGATCAATTTGACCCCTACCTGAGCGCGTGTTAAGTGAAGCAGTCTGGTGGCTGTAGCATGTTGCATAGCTGTGGGAGCAGAAGACATGATTGCATTTTTGTCACCTATGTTTTTTGGATTTCCAAAACAGGGTAAGCAAGTGATGTCACTTATCGGTTGTGTGCTTTGCTGAAAGGGATTTGTATTTTGTATCATGTGTTTTTGGTCACTCATATGTCAGATGCGGAGTTTGTACAAGAATACATGCCCGATCCATCTTTTCACGATGGAATTTATCTTGAAAGCAGCAGGAATTACAGAACAAAAACTACACCATTGTTTAGTGTGTCATGCCACAGTACAGTATTGAGGTAGTGTTACGATGACACTGTTAACTCGTGCCATTATGCAATGTACCGCATTGGTTGACAAGCTTTTGTGAAGCTGATGAGATAACAGTGTGTAATTTATGAATAACTGGTAATACCTCATTTAACAGCGCTAAATGACTATCATCAGCGAGAATGCTATTCCACCACAATGGTGATATCAGGGTTAACTAGTAATGACATAAATAATCCTAAGCAAGAAAAACATTCATGGTAGCTCAACCCTACCATCTTTGCCACGGCATTAGCAATGTTTTGGCAATCAGTTCACAGCAACGTTACAGATTTATTGATTTTTGCATGCACCTGCGTTATAATTACATTAATTAGTAACTACTGCGCACATTACATAACATCAATGTCAGGACTACAGCACTGCAGGCAGGGATAAGTTGACAGTACAATACGTATGTCAAACAGTCCGCCAAGGCTTTTCTTACGACCAATACCAAGACAAAAAATCCCCAGACAAGCCATTCACTAATGGGCCGCCCAACACAGTGCCCACGACGAGAATGGCCGGTTGGCGTCAGCTTTCGTGCGTTTCTACGCATTCTTTAGTTCTTGCTGCCAGATGCTGCCAGGTATTGCTGGCGTCACAAAACCACTCCATGACGCCATCAAACAATGACGTAATGA